AAATTTGCTGCAGATAAAACCTCTCAGCTTTTCTTTGTCTGAAAATGTCTTTTACACATTCATCTTTGAAGAATATTTTTTCTGGCTGTAGAATTCTGGGTTGAGGCACTTTTTTTTTTAAGTACTTAACACTGTTATTCCATTGTTTCCTGGCTTTCCTTGTTTCTAATAAGAAGTCTGTCATTATTTGTATCATTACCCTCTGGTACATATCTTTCTATTCTAGTCACCTTTAGAAATGTTTTCTTTACCTTCAGTTTTCTGTACTTCAAGTATGGCTGCCTAGTGGCCATCTGCTTTGTATTTATCTTGTTCAGCATTCACTAAGGTTCTCTGATCTGTGGGTTATTATATTTGATCAGTATTAGAAAATGTATAGTCATTGTTGCCTCAAGTGTTTGTTCTACCACAATTTTCTCTTCTTCTATGATTACACTTATAAGTATGGTATGTAATTATATGTATGGTATACCAATCACATAGATTTGATATTGTTCTACTGTTCTTAGATGTTCTGCTTCTTGTGTTTTTTTGGTCTTTCTTCTATTCATGTTATAGTCAGGATAATTTTAATTACCTATTTTATATTCACTGATTTTTTTCCTTTGTTGTGTGGCAAATATAATAGTCTCAAAATAATAGTAGTTTCACTAGAAATAGTTTACACTCACATTTGAACTTTTGTACTTGGACTATGTCCTCACTAAGAAAGTATGGTCAAAATGTTTTATAGTCACTTGACATAATTGTTATTTATGTGGTAATTTTTCAACCTTCACTATAGGTAGGCTTATTTATTTCATTTAGAACACACAGCATCAGTATAAAAATTTTAAAATATTTAGGTAATGATTTATTTGCTTTTTGCTTTAATTTTATTTTTAATTATTAAAAAAATTTACACTGTTGTATATGGTAGTTCTAAAGTCAAAATTATAAAATGAAGATTATTCAAAGGAATTTCATTTTCATCTCTGTTCTATTCACACAATTTCTTCCCCATCCATATATGCATATTTTTAATATTTTTCTTTTCTTTTGCCATTTTTGGTTAAAGTTATTCCCTCCCGACTTTTAAAAATAAAGTGTTGCCTACCATAAACATTGTGTCATACATTGTTATTTTAACTTAACAATATATTATGAAGAATGCTTCAGAGAAGTATATATAGCCCTTTCACACTCCTTTTATATTTTTCCCTCTTATAGCTCTCTCCTTTGTATAGAAATACCATAGTTCTCTCAACCAGTTCCCTACTTATGACCATTTGGGTTGATTTCAATCTTTTGCTATTACAAATAATGATGCAATAAATGATCTATTCGTATATCATTTTATACTTTGCCAGTATAATGAGTGTTGGCTAGGTGAAAAGGTGAATGCATATGTAAATTTGATAACTGTCCTACCTTCTCTCTATAGGAATGCACTATTCTGTATTCTTCCCAACAATATTACAACTTCACCAATAAGATATGCTGTCAAACCTTTTCCAATTTGTTGAGAGAAATTGTATCTCTGTGTAGTTTTAAATTGCATCGAGGTTAAGTATCTTTTCGTATTTATAAATGTCATTTGTTATCTCTGTTTCAATGATTTATCTGTTTATATATTTTGTCCATTTTTTCTGCTGGATGTTATTGTAAATGGAATTATTTTTTTAATTTCCTTTCAGACTGTTCATTGTTGGTATATAGGAACACAACTGCTTTTTGTTAATCTTATACTCTGAAACTTTGTTGAATTTGTTAGCTATGGTAGCTTTCTTGTAGATTCATTGAGGTTTTCTACATTTGGTATATGACATCTGCATATAGATATAGTTTTCTTTCTTTCTCTCCAATTTGGATGCCTGTTTTTGTTTGTTTGTTTTTTGTTTTGTCTAAACGCTCTTGCTATAACTTTCAGTTCAATCTTGTATAGCAGTGGTGAAAGCATTCTTTTTTGTTTTGTTCCTAATTTTAGGTGGAAAGCTTTTAGTCTTTCATCATTGAACTGTGGATTTTCCTGTTGCTATTTTTATGAGTGGTTTCTTTTTTTATCATGAAAAATTTGTATTTTGTCAAATGCCTTTTGTGCATTAACTAAGATGACCATGTGTTTTCCCCTTCATTTATTAAGGTACTTGTTACATTGTTTTTCTTATGTCAAACTACCATCTCATTTAAAAAATAAATATCACTTGGTCATCAAGTATGATTCTTTTAATATTTGGGGGGATTCAGTTTGCTAGTATTTTGCTGAGGATTTTTCATGTATATTCACTAGATGTATTGGTCTATGTGGTGTCTTTGTCTTTCTTTGGTATCGAGGTTAAACTGACAGCATAGCATATGTTAGAAGTTGTGATATTTTGATTTATAACAAATAAATATTTGGTTGTTCTTATGTATATTTGATCTTTACTTAAAGTTCTTGGTTCACAGCTCCCTAAACCCTTGGAATTTCCTGAATAATAACAATGGGCACACCTTTTGTCATAATAATTGGTCTCTTGTCTGAAATTGCTTCAGAGCCATAAAGGTGAAATGGGTGTCTTGTTATTCATAATAAGCCCCTTTCTACCACAACTGGGTTTATGTTAATCAAGTGATTTATGGACAGTAACTAAGGATGGGGACTAGTGGCCAGGAGAACCAACCATGTGATTAGAGGGTTAGAACTTTCAGTTCCCATCCACCTACTTCCCAGAAGGGAAGAGGGGTTGGAGACTTAGTTCAATCACCAATGGCCAATTTTTAAATAAATAATGTATATGTAATGAATCCTCCCTAAAAACCAAAACAACAGGGTTTGGAAACTTCTGGGTTGGTGAACATATGGAGATTGCGGGAGAGTGGTACCTGGAGAAGGCATGGAAACTCTGCATTCTTTTTCCATACTTTGCTGGCTATTGATTTGTATCCTTTAATAATCTTTCATAATAAATCAGAAATTTAGTAAGTAAATGGATACCCTGAGTTCTCTACTACATTCTAGCAAGTTAATTAAACCCAAGGAGGAGGTTGTGGGAACCCCAGATTTATAGCCAGGTTGTTGCTAACAACCTGGGCTTGTGATTAGAGTCTGAAGTGGAGGGCGGTCTTGTGGGACTGAGCCCTTTACCTATGGAAACTGATGTTATCTCTAGATAGATAGTGTCAGAATTGAGTTGTATTGTAGGGCATTCAAATGTTGTTCAAGAATTTCTTGGTGGTGCGGGAGCCCTCCACCCATACACACAGAGTGGAATTGGGTCCAGAATACTATTAGAGGTGTCCCCTCTTTTACTTTTCTGGAAGAGTTTGAGAAGTACAGGTGTTAATTTTTCTTTAAATGTTTAGTGGAATTCACCCACGAAGCCATGTAGTCCTGAACTTTTCTTTGTTGGGAGGTTTTCAATTATTTATTCAATCTATTTTAGGTTTGCTCAGATTTCAATTTGCTGCTGAGTCAGTTTTAGTAATTTGTCTTTTTCTAGAAAAAAATTCCATTTCATCTAGGATACTTAATTTGTTAGCATACAATTGTTCATATTATTTTCTTATAATCTCTATCATTTCTATAATGCCAGCAGTAATATTTCCATTTTCACTTCAGATTTCGGTTCTTGCATCTTCTTTTCTTCCATAGTCTAGCTAAACATTTGCCAATTTTATTGATCTTTTCAAAGAACTAACTTTTGGTTTTGTATATTCTCTCTACTGCTTTTCTATCCTCTAGTTTTCTTCTGCTAGTTTTGGGTTTAGTTTGCTCTTTCATTTAAGTTCCTTAAGGTATAAAGTTAATTACTGATTTGAGATCTTTCTTCTCCACATGCCCCTTCTCCACACACACCCATAGCCTCCCCCAACATCAACATCTCACATACCAGTGTACTTGTTATGATCAGTGAACCAACATTAGTACATCATTATTAACCCAAGTCCATAATTTGTTAAGAGTTCAGTGACTTTTCTAAACTATTTTTGTTAAGTCTATATTATTTTTTATGTGGTGTCTTTGAAATTTCTGTTCCTTCAGCTTGTATTCGTTCAGCTGGTGTTTTGACACAGATTTTCTTGAATACAAGAAAAGACAGAGGGAGGGCAGAAGGGAAGAGGGAAGGAGTGTGGAGGAAACAAGACTTCTCTCAGTGTTTTTCAGATTGGCTTTACGCAAGAGCACACCTTCAATGCTTAGCTAAGCCTTTTAACTCTGACTTAATCTTTATTTTCCACTTGTACTGCACCTACAGATCAGCAGAAGTGAAAGCTTAGGGTTTTCTCAGGTATTTTTTGAGATTGCACCCTGCCCTGGATATTCACATAGCTTTCTAAATTCCCTAGTATATACAGGCATTTTTTAATGATTTAATTTCTCAAAGAAAATCTTTTGGCAACTTTTCCTATTTTTGCAATTTTTTATGAGTTTGAATTTATTTCAAAATAAAATTTACTATAAAAGCGGATTTGAAGCCAAAATGTTCTAAGTTCAAAGCCAGGCTCTGCCACTTGCTTGCTGTGTGATCACGTGAAAGTTACGTGAAAGTTCATTGAGTTTCAGTGCTCTCATCTGTAAAGTGAAGATTGTAATACCTACTTTGCTAAATTATAAATTTTAAGAGCAATATTTGCTTTGCACACAGTGGGTGTTTAGTAAGTGGTAACCATTATTATTGTTATTCATCATACTGGGCTTGTGGTCAGTGAAAAGCTAGCCTAGTATGAGATTTGGCACATAGGCCAAAGATTGTTGATAACTTAAAAATATAATAACTCTGAATCTCACATTTCTTATCACACTAGGTAATGGAAAAGGCACTATAATTACTTTGAACATGAGCTGTTTTTAAAAACTGAAATGAAGGCAAACTAGGACAGAGAAGGTTAGAAATGCAATTTGAATGAGTTCTTGGGAAATCTTGATTGCAACAGGAAATATCCTTTTAATACTATAGAAACTAATCTAAGTTAGGAAATCTATAACAAAAATAATGAATAATACAACAGGAAAGTGCCATTAAAAATATCTAGTGTACCTTAAGATTTAGTGCATTTCTTCCATATATTTGACAGTTTACTACAGCCAGGTTGGTCATGGCTGTTATTGTTTCATATCGTGTTGCTGCAACAGTCTTAAAACCTTCACCATGCATGGCGCTTGCCTCTGATTCATCTCTTTTTCTAGATTTAATGAGACCTAAGTAAACAAAACAATACATGAGACAAATGTGTTATCACTTAGAGTGAAATTTAAAATGTACTTATGTTAAGGTAACAGGATATCATAAATAAGTTACTGGTACACATCCTCTTCATAACCTTTACCTACCCAGTCAGTTGGTTCTGTGTATCAAAGTGGGAGTTGTTATTGCTTCTAATATTAGATAGCACAATTGTCTTTCTAAAAGAAAACCATATAATCATATATTTCTACCTGAATAATTTAGATTCTGTCAATCTTAGTCTTTTCTTTTTATCTTATTTGTAAAAAATATTTTTAAAACATTTTTACTGTGAATTACATAAACGTTTCTTGCTTCACAAAACTAATAGAGAACATCGTGTAAGCATAACTCAGATAGGAATCACTTCCCAAGAAGCAACCTTGCATTTTTCCTCTAATAGTACCTTGATGCATAATTCAAAGGCCCAGTGTAATTCAGCTTTTCCTTCAGTCTGAAGACCCCACACAAGAAAAAAACAAAAACCAAATGACTCAAGGGTTAGCCAAACAGAAACAATCTAAATTTACTTTATCGTGTCCCTTGTGGATTTTACCTTCAATGAAAGCTAGCCTGTCCTGGCACCAAGAACACACAGGAGACCCATAGCCTGTCCTTTCCAATACACAGGAGTAATGTCTGAGACACTGAGGTGACTGGGTTGTAAAGCGGACACCCACCTCCTAGGGAATACAAAGCATTTCCACAGCCAAAGTGACACCACCTGTCACAGATCCCTAGAGCCCAAGCAGTGCAGGTAATAGAAAATAAAAATTGCGCTTCAATGCCACCTACTGGAAAACAAAGAAAAGATCTCTACTTATCTGTTAAATAGTGAAGTACAAAATTCTTTAAATTCCCACAAATGCTCAGGCAGAGAAATGATCCATCAAGCACAATGAACACACAATATAACAAGTGAATTCAGAAAAAAAAAATTAAAAATTTCCACAAAATATACTTAAAGACATGGAAATATGTGATTTAAATGACAGAATTCAAGATTGCAGTTCTGAAAAAACTCAATGAGATACAAAAAAACTCAGAAAGGCAATTCAATAAACTAAGAAATAAAGTCGATGAACAAAAGGAGTGCTTCACCAAAGAGATTGAAACTATACAAAAGAACCAAACAGAAATTTTGGAGCTGAAGAACTCAACAAAAAAGATGAAGAATGAATTATCAAGCTTAGGAAATAGAAAAGATCATATGGAGGAAAGAGTTAGTGACATAGAATGGAGAAATCTAGAAATGACTCAGGTAGAAGAAGAGAGACGATTGAGAGGAAAAATATGAAAGAACTCTACAAGAACGATCTGACTCCATTAGAAACAATATAAGAAAAATGGAAAGACGGAGAAATAGGTAAATGCTGTGCTTGCTTCTTTTCACAATAAATCAAAATCACTACTAAATAGCCAAAATGGAAGTCAACGGAAGTCTAGCTGAATGGAACTCCTACAACTAGGGACACAGAGAAGAGGCAATCTCGAGACTGGTAGGAGGGGCAGAGATGCAAAACAGGCTGGTCTCATACCCGCATTTGGTGGTTTAGAACTGGGAGAAATATCTCGGCTTGGAGATCCCCACAGGAGAGTGAGGGGTCCCAACCTTACACAGGGTTCCCAAGTCCAGGGATCCAGTGCTGGGAAGAGAAGTTCTCAGAATATCTGGCTGTGAAAACCAGTGGAGATCGTGGCAGAATGAGACAGAGAGCTGAGGGAGTCACAGACTTTTCTCTTAAGGGGTCCCACGCATGGAGTTACTCACTGATGGATTCACTTGCTCTGAGCTCCAGCTCCAGGGCAGCAGCTCAAAAGGTGCCAGGGACATACGGGGTGGAACTGAATCATCTGATGTCAGGGCAAGAACTAGAGGGGAAGCTTTCTCCCAAATAGAAATGCTGGTTAAGGGCTGAGCCCTCCCCACACAGCTTGCAGACCCAGGTGGGTGCCACATCTGAGTCTCCATCAAAGTAGCTAACACTGCCCAGCCCAGATGAATCCCTGACACTTTACCCCATCAACCTCTGGGCCCAACCAAGCCACTTTCAGTGGCTTTTCCAGCCTGTCTTGGCATATGCTGCAACTGAGACACATCTGGCCTCGGCGAGACCTGTACCTCTTGCTGAGCAGACTCAAGCCTTGCAGTAGCGGCAGCTGGCCTCAGTTTCTGCTTAGACTCTCGAGGCACTTCCAAGCCCAGCATGGGTGGTGGCCATCTGCCAATTGCTTGGTGTCTCATGCCAGGTATCCATAGCAGGAAAATGGCTACAGCTGAACTTGGCCTGTGGCAGGGCCTCTCCCAGGAGACTCCAGCATGCACACCTGGTGGCTGGCTTCAGTCTGAGATGGAGTATCACCCAGGGTCATATCTGAGGACAACACACCAAAGGGTAGACAGGGCAGGTACTGGCGTCTTGCTAAAGCAAATCCTGCCCTGTAGAGTCTGCCCCAGAACATCAGCTCCTCTGCTGGTCACAGCCAGTCATCACAACCAATCATCCTGAGGTTCAGTCCCTCTCACTGATGCGCAAACAGTAACCAAGCCTCAATTACAACAGGGTGCGGGCACATATAACCCACATAAGGGACATACTTGGAGTACTTGGCTCAGGTGACCAGGGAGATTGTGCCACTGGGAACCACAGCACACCTACTACATAAAGCCACTCTACTGGGAGACATAGCAGCATTACTAATATATAGAAACAAGTACAAGTAGGCAGCCAAAACAAAAAGACAAAGAAACATGTCTCAAATGAAAGAAAAGAATAAAACTCCAAAAAAAAGAACTAAACAAAATGGAGACAAGCAATCTACCAGATGCAGAATTCAAAACACTAGTTATAAGGATGCTCAATTAACTTAGGGGAAGAGTAGATGAATTCAGTGAGAACTTTAAAAAAGAGAATGAAAACATAAAAGTGGAGACAGAAAATATAAAAAAGAACCAGTCAGAAATAAGAATACAATCATTGAAATGAAGAATACCTTAGGAGGAATCAACATTACATTAGATAAAGCAGCAGATTGATTCAGCAATTTAGAAGATACCAGTCCCTTGTTCCCATTGTTTTTGGCACAAGGGACTGGTGCTCACAACACTGGTGTGAGAATCTAATCCCTGATGATCTCAGATGGAGCTGAGGCAGTGATGCTAGTGCTGAGGAGTGGCTGCAAATACAGATAAAGCTTTGCTCGCTCACCCACTGCTCACCTCCTGCTATGTAGCCTGGTTTGTACTGGTCCGTGGCCCGGGGGTTGAGGATCCCTGGATAAGGGACCTCTGGGACAAAATCAAGCATAACAACATTGACATCTTAGGGATACCAGAAGGAGAAGAGAGAGAGCAAAGAATTAAAAATCTATTTGAAGAAATAATGATGGAAAACTTCTCAAAGCTGGCAAAGGAAATAGACATACAAGTCCAGGAGGTGCAGAGTCCCAAACAAGATGAACACAGAAAGGCCCATGCCAAGATACATCATAATTAAAATGTAAGAAATGTAAGAAAGATACATGCAAAAGAATAAAACTAGACTGCTATTTGACCCCATACACAAAAAAAATTAACTCAAAATGAATCAAAGATCTCAATACAAGACCTGAAACAATTATATACATAGAAGAAAACATTGGTACTAAACTTATGGACCTTGGTCTCCAAGAGGATTTTATGAATTTGACCCAAAAGCCAAGGGGAATAAAAGCAAAAATAAATGAATGGGATTATGTCAAATGAAAAAATTCCTGCACAGCAAAAGAAACCATCAACAGAACAAAAAGGCAACCAACTGAATGGGAGAAGATGTTTGTAAACAATATCTCCAATAAGTGGCTAATATCCAAATTATATAAAGAATTTATTCACTCAAAAACAGAAAAAACAACAACCCAATCAAAAAATGGGCAGAGGACCTAAACAGACACTTTTCCCAAGAATACATACAAATTGCCAACAGATATATAACTTCTGTTATATATAACAGATATATAACAACAGATATATATATATGCTTAACTGCACTGGCTATAAGGGAAATGCAAGTCAAAACCACAATGACATACCATCTCACAACTGTTAGAATGACTATTATCAACAAGACGAGAAATAACAAGTGGTAGAGGATGTAGAGAAAAAGAAACCCTCAGACACTTATGGTGAGAATGTAAATTGGTACAGCCATAAGTGAAAACAAGTACTCTCTTTTGGGTATCTAACTGAAAATTTTGAAAACATTTGTTCATAAAAACATATGTACTCCAATGTTCATTGCAGCATTATTCACAGTGGCCAAAACATGGACACAACCTCAATGTCCTTCGATAGATGATTAAGTAAAGAAAATGTGGCACATATATACAATGGAATACTCCTCAGCCATATAGAAGATGAAATACTGCCATTTGCAACAACATGGATAGATCTTGAGAGTATCATGCTAGTGAAATAAGTCAGATGGAAAAAGATAAGAATCATATGATGCCATTTATATGTGGGATATAAAACAGAAAGCGACAAATGAGCAAACAAAACAACAAACAAAAGACATACCTCATTGACTATGACAACAGTATTGTGATTACCAGAAGGGAAAGAAGGATGGATGGAGGTTGAAAAGGTAAAGGGGATCAAATATACGAGGATGGAATGAGACTAAACTTTGGATGATGAGTACACAATGCAATATACAGATGACATATTATAGTATTGTGCACTTGAAACTTATATAATCTTATTAAGCAATGTCATTCCAATAACTTTAATAATAAAAAAAGAAAAGTAAAAATCATCTAAAACAGATAAAAATGCCTATCTAGGTATACATCCAAGTCTGGCAGGAAAGTATTTTGAAATTTGATGAAATATTTTTCACATTTCTAGCCATTATTGCTGCATTACTTGCAGCAACACATTTTACAATCTCAGTAATTTTTTATGGCATTGCTTCAATGAGAGCTAATAGTGCATTCTAGAACAAAGAAAACAATGTTCAGTTTTTAATTTCTAAAATGGGCCTTGTGTGCTCATTTCAGATCAATATATGTGAAACTTAACCACAGAATAAAGAAGGATGTATGATATGATATGGAGATTCCTTGTTTTAAGAGAGAAAATGGAGCAAGAAGAAAAGTTAAGACATAAATCTGTGGCCTGCTCGCAGACCACCCACCCTCTCAGTCTAAGCTCAAGCATTTGGCTTCGAGTGGAAAGGAAGGAGATGGAGGTGGGGAGGTAGAAATTCCCTGATCTCTGAAGAAGGTGAGGACATTTAAATTCACCTAAAATCTTTCAAAAGGTGAACCTCCAAAGTACAATAAACTTAATAAATCAGAAATGGCAGCATGACTTAATAAGGCTTATGACATGGAAGAGACTCAGCAGTTAATTTATGTCACAGATAGTGATACAGAACTACTAGAATAGTGAGCTCAGAAATTCCTATGACTGCTATAGTTAATAATACTTTATTGTATATTTGAAAGTTGCTAAGAGTATATCCTAGAAGTTTTTATCACAAGAAAAAAATATAACTATGTGATGTGATGGATGTTAACTAAACTAATTGTGGTAATATTTCACAATATATACATCTATCAAATAACTATGTTGTACACTTTAAATTTGTAGTGTTATATATCATATTTCCGTAAAACTGGGAGGGGGTGGAGTTCTATGGTTGGAGCATTCTGTATATAATCTCATATTAAAAACTTCTGTTGAATCATTAACTTGTTATGTTATTTTTCTGTTCTAGAATTTTATTTAAATTTTATATTTAAAAACAAAAATTCCAGTTCTCTGGTAAAATTCTCCAACTTTTTTTCCTTGAATATAGTAATCATAGTTATTTTTAAATTCTTATTTGAAAACTCCAAATATCTCAATCTATGAGTCTGTTTCTATTTTTTTCTCTGGTTTTTTTCAGATGTTTTATTGTTTTTAAGATGCCTTGTGATTTTTTTTATTTTAATGCTGCCATTATGGATGAAAATTTAAAGAGACTGGATAATGCATCCATTCTAACAAGTATCAGATTTTCTTTGATTAGGCAGAAAGTATCACTTTGGTTTATGAAAGATTATTTTTAAGCTTTGTTAGGGATAATCTATTTCACTTTTGTCCTTTCTCCTAGAACATCATTCTTATTCCTAAGGCATGGGTTCTCTGAGTCTTAAACTAAAAGTCTAGGGTGTTTATCAAGGCCCCTTCATTTTGGCAGAGCTTGAACTTCAATAACTCTCCTGTGCAACTGTCAAAATCTATGCTCAGTTCCTTAGTATTTCTGCTGATGTTTTCTGTTGTGTTTCTTAGAGTACTGTCCTGCACATACACAGCTTCAAAATCAGCCAACGCCCTTAAAGGAGTTCGTATGCAGAAATTTGGGATTCACTTCTCTCTTCTTTGAGATTTTGCCCCTCAAGTTCCAGTTATACTGACAGTCCTGAAGTCTAACTTTTATCTAAATTCAGTAATACTATCACTTTCTATTTGTACTTTATTCTCCAAAACCACAAATGCCCCCTGGCAAAAGCAAAGGTAAATGCAAAGCTAACTCATGAACTTCCCTTATTTCAAGGATTATAGCCACTCAGGTCATGTCTGTAATGGTTACTCTCCAATGGTTACGCTTCAAAAGATATGTTATATATTTGGGGCAGTTTTAATATGTGATTTTGGTGAAAGGGCTTGTCCAATACAAGCTCTTCAATCTTGGACAGAACCAGAAGTCATTGGGTTATTTTAAAATATATCTGATAATTCTAATACTTAGAACTCCTGTGGGTATATTCTTGTTAGTTTTCATTTATTTCATCTTTCTCTTTGTGTACCTGGTAATTGTGAATTGTTTACTACATGCTGTATTTTTGAAATTGTTTATAGAGATAATGTGAGGTCTAGAATGATATGATCTTTTTAAAAAATGATTTTTCATTTGTTTCTGCTAGGTAACTAAGGTCAAAGCACCTAAAACAGTGCCTGACACATGGCAAATAGTTAACTCATTATTGCATGTCTATCTGCCCCACCCAGATTAAAAATATCCCAGCTTTTATGTTCTCAACATCAGTACAAACTTTGGTTTATAGTCAATACTTTAAAAATAGTTACTGGGTAAATGGCTTAAGGAACTAAAAATGAGACATGTGTGAATCATATACACACAGAGACAGACACACAATGAATACTTCTATAGAGAGATAATCTTATACAGTTTTTAAAAGAATATAAACTTAGCTTTTACCTTCATATAGGGTTGGCTTACTTTGCCTTGGAACACTTTCTACATTTTCATTTTCTGTTATACAAATTTCTAGAGAAAAAAAAGAAAAGAAAAAAGGGACCTTTGGATACTTGTGAAAATTCATGTTGAGGTTGTTATGATTTCATTGTAATTGTTCATCTTTTAATGAATTGGAATAATCCATGGCAATTTGCCATAAAGTCACCCATTGGCATTGGCATTCTGCTTCTGGAGTTCATCTAGATTACCTTCATTCACACTACTCCTTTATACTAGTTTTTCTCATTCTTTGAACTCCTTTATCTGATTTCCGCCATCACCACCTGGGTGGAATACCCAGTTTGGCCTTGGCAGACCTGCAAGGTCAGGACTTCTGTTACTGCATTCTGGCTCACATATTAAATGTATAGGCCGAGAGTGATCTCATCATCCCACTCTGCAAACCCAAGGGGGAGAGCAGCATTTGCTTACATGCTTTCTCTTCCCTTTGCTCTACTTAACCCCATTATTACCAGGCTCAGAATGGATTTACCTATCAGTGACTGTCTTTGAGGTTTTCTTGGTAAAATTGGTAATGGTAAGAGAACAGTATCAGTAAAATTACTAATACTTAGTAGCCCTGTAGTATTTTGTTGTAAATGGTCAGACTGCCATCTTTCTGCTCGAACAGGCATAATTCTTGGGAAAGGGCTTGGCATTCTTGCACTTAAATCTATAAGACTGTGCTTAAAAGTATAGGTCCTAGCCTTTGGTAAAAGTAGATGCTCAGAGCAAACTTTCTTGAGTTTGGGAGTAATAACCAAAGAAGCAGCACTTGAAGGTTTGGAGAAGTGTGAGGAGAGAATCAGAATGTCTTTTAGCATGTTATCAACATAAATCTTTTTCATTTTCGATGGCTCTTTTGATTTTCTTGAAGTTTTCATTTGGCTTGTTTCTTTCCCAAAAACTCGACTAGAAGCTGAATGACAACTTGGAAAAAATATGGAACCAGTAGCAGTCTCTGGAATGTTCCAACAGACTTTCTTAGAAGATTTTGGGAGTGTTGAAATAGTAGTCATTCTTTCTTGTACATGATGATCAAGAGAGAGATTTTGGATATTGACAGGGGTTTGTGATTGATTTTTTGAAATGTCAGGAAAATTAGTTTTCTCTCTTTTAATTAAAGTGGTTTCATCTTGAGTAAACTTTACATGTGGTGGATCAGTTACACCGGTCTTGACTAAACCAGAAAAAGAAAAAAAGAAGAAAAGCACAATTAGATTATACTCATCGAGGTGTCAGGGACAAAACTATAACGTCTTAGCATTCATATATATGCACTCAGATATCAGGACTTTTGTTTAGTTGACTGGGATAAAGTTTAAATGAACAATTGGAGAAGAGGCTAACCTATATTAGATTTAGAAAGGGTAGGGGGCTTACTCTTGAAAAAAAACAGAATTGACAAAGTGAAAAGTGGATTATAAAAGGAGATTTTTGAACAGTTGCCACTAAAACTCTGGCAATATAGATGGGTAAAAATAATTCTGATTAATGTTTTCTATTTATCATCTCTTCCTTATTTGAAATCTCTTTGAGGAAAGATGACATTTCTTTTCTTTTCAATGTCAGATGTCAGACAAATGTGTCTTTCGAATATAACATTCTTATACTAGCTACAAGGTATCACAGTTCATTTAGGTTACAACAATAAGTATTCTTTTCTCTCTTAGGTCCAGAAAATGCACTGTGCCTGCATTCTGTAGGACCTCACTACATCAAATGTACTTTCTCTTTCCTATGTGACAAAATATTAAATGGCATTTATTTTCTATTGTCTCAATTGAGTACAATAAATGATGAGGACCTCTATATTCTAATGAGGAGATAACAGATTCATTAAGGCAAGATTTGCAAAGATGTGGGCAAAACAAGTACATTCTCACTCACCTGTTTTCTCTACATAAAATATAGCTAGATCTTGGTTTAGAGAGAGGATTTCTTCTGAATAGCACTATTGAAGTGCTATGTGTTTCCTTGATCTTTTCTTCCCTATAGTGGGTGGAAGAGAATAATTTTCTCCCTACACCTTAATCCAAGGGGATTCTCAGAAAACCATGTATAGAGAACAGAAGTGTATGTCACAAGGAGAAAATAACTTCTCACCACTCCCCTACCTACTTCCCTACTGATACCTACAGAGTAGGAAAAATGTATTGGTTCACCCAGTGCTGTGTTCCAACTGGACTAAGGCAAGAGAATCCTTTAAACTTCTTGACCTGTATTTCTAGGCATTTTAGGAGGGTACAGAGATTGATACCTGATTCTCATCTTAACTCTTATCTCCACTTATTCTTTGCCACTCCTAGCCTCACCAATGGAGGAGCCAGAAACTACAATGTGACTTGGGGGAAAGAAGTAAAAGAACAAGGTGACTCTGTTTCCCGTGTCTTGTCTAAAAATTAGCAGACCTAGTCTGAGCTAGGAGAACAAGGCTTGATTGCATACTAGATGAAAGTATTGATTTACATTGGACTAGTTGCTTATTATCTGAAAATGAGAAAAGGTAATAGATGAAAGTGACTAGAAAAGTCTTGGAAGAGGGATGTGTGCTATGTGACTTTGAAAGGCAGTAGTAGTAGTGGAATAATGTTTGCTTCCTGCTTATATAAAACTAATCAAAGTGAGCTCATTCAATAAAATGATTACACCACTATCTTCAACTTTATTTTTTCTATCTCCCATGTTAAAACAAAACATGATACTCAGCAAAAACTCTGATAGACTCCAAAACTCCTTCCAACCACCACCATCCCACCACATTTATCCTTCTCTTCAATGGCAAACTGAAGTAGTTTACACTTGTTAGTCTGACTTCTTGTCCTCTCATGTTTGTTGTTTCACTTTATTTATTCTGTAACATTTTATTAAATTAGCAGACTTTACTTTTACAACAGTTTTAGATATATAAAAAAAGTTGAGCAAGATAGTACAGTTACAATATATTCCACTTTATTGTACACAGATTCATCAATTATTAACACCTGGCATTAGCGTGGCACATTTAATGAAACAATGTTGATACATGCTTAAAGTTCATAGCTTACTAAAGGTTCAGTCTTTGTGTTGTACAGTTCTATAGATTTTGACAAATGCATAATGTATCCACCATTACAATATAATACAAAACAATTTCACTACCTTCAAAATCCCATGTTTTATCTATTCATCCCTTCCCCTCTCCCTAAACCTCTGATAACCATTGATATATTTTTTTTACCACCTCAATAGTTTTGCCTTTCTAGAATTCCATATAGTTGGAATCCTACAGTATTATAGCCTTTTCATCTGGCTTCTTTCGCTTAGCAATACACAGTTCCTCCATATCTTTATATGGCATGATAGCTCATTTCTTCTTATCACTAAATAAAATTACACTGTGTGGATGTACCACAGTTTATCCACTCACCTATTGAATTGCTTCCAATTTGGAGCAATTGTGAATATAATTGTGAATATAACTGTGAATATAATCATATGATTATGAATATAATTTATATCAATATAGTTGATATAAATATGCATGTGCAAGTTTTGCGTAGACTTAAGTTTTCATCTCAATTGGGTAAATACCTATTTCAATTGCTGGATTATATGGTAACAATTGTATGTTTAGCTTTGTACAAAAGTACCAAACCATCTTCAAATGTGGTTGTACCACTTTGCATTCTTACCAGCAATGAATGAGTTTCTCTTGCTCTTCTCCAGTATTTGGTGTTGTCAATGTTTTGTATTTTAGCTCTTCTAATAGGTCTACAATGGTATCTTGTTTTAGTTTGCAATTCCCTAATGACATATGTTGTTCAACATTCTTTCATATTCTTATTTGGCCTCTGGATATTTTCTTTGGTGAGGTGTTTGTTTGGCCCACTTTTTAATTAGATTGTTTTTTTATTGTTGAGTTGAAGAGTTCTTTGTTTTAGATGCAGTTCCTTTACCAGATATTTATTTTGCAAATATTTTTCCCAGTACATGGCTTGTCTTTTTATTCATTTAACAATGTCTTTCACAGATAAGTTTTTAATTTTAATGAAGTCCAATTTATCAAATTTTCTTTCATAAATTGTTCTTTTGGTGTCATATTTAAAAAGTCATTGCCAAACACAAAGTCACTTATATTTTCTCCTATGTTATGCTAGAAGTTTTATAATTCTGCATTCGTATATTTAGGCCTATGATTCTTTTGTGTTAATTTTTGTGAAAAGTATAAGTCTAATCTAGGTTTTGTTTTGGGTTTTGTTTTGTTTTTGTTTTTTTGTTTTTTTTGCATATGGATACCCAGTTAGCTTGTTTCAGTTTCATTCACTGAAGAGACTATAGTTTATCCATTCAGTTGTCTTTGCTTTTGTTGTAAAAGAGTAGTTGACTATATATCTGTGTGTGTGTCTATTTCTTGGCTCTGTACTCTCATCCATGGATCTATTTGTCTGGTTTTTTGTTTTTTGTTTTCAATATAACACTGTCTTGATTATTATAGCTATATTACTATAAAGTCTCGAAATTGAGTAGTGCCAATCCTCCTACTTGCTTCATTTTCTTTAGTGTGGTATTGGCTATTTTAGGTCTTTTGTCTTTACATATAAACTTTATTATTATTTTTAAGTATATCGGAGAAATGTTGGTTAATACAATTATATAATTTTCAGGTGTACATTATTATTTGACATCTGTATATTCTATTGTGTGTTTACCATTCGAATTCCAGTTTCCCTCAGCTACCATATATTTGACCACCTTACCCACATCACCCTGCCCCGATACTTTACCCCCTCTAAACCGTCTAAAAAAATAAATGAAACGAAGAGCCGGTTCTTGAGAAGGTTAATAAAATTGACAAACCCCTGGCTAGACTCACTCAAGAAAAAAGAGAAAGGACACAAATAAACGAAATCAGGGATGAAAGAGAGGAAATTATGACTGATATTGCAGAAATACAAAGGATCATACAAGAAAGTATATAACACCAAATTTAATAACCTAGAAGAAATGAACCAGTACTTAGAAAAATACAACCTTCCTAGACAATCAAGAAGATCTGGAAAATCTAAATAGACTGATCAGCAGTATGGAAATGGAAACAATCATCAAAAATCCATCAAAAAGTAAAAGTCCAGGACCAGATGACTTCACCAGTGAATTCTACCAAACATTCAAAGAAGATTTAATATCTATTCTCCTCAAACTCTTCCAAAAAAATCGAAGAGGGGACAATACTTTCCAACACATTTTATGAAGCCAATATTACTCTGATACCAAAACCTGATAAAGATGACACAAGAAAAGAAAAGTACAGACCAATATCTCTTATGGACACAAATGTGGAAATCCTAAATAAGATACTAGTGAACCAAATGCAGCAACATATTAAAAAGATTATACACCATGATCAAAAGGGCTTCATCAAAGAGGCACAGGAATGGTTTGACATACGCAAATCGATTAATGTGATACACCACATAAACAAATTAAAAAGAATCGTATGATTATATCAATAGATGCAGAAAAAGCCTTCGACAAGATACAGCATCCATTTATGATCAAAACACTTAACAAAGTCGGTATAGAGGGAAAATACCTTAACATAATATAGGCCATCTATGACAAACCCTCGGCCAACATTATACTTAATGGTGAAAAACTATCACCACTATCGCCACTCTTATTCAATATAACATTGGAGGTCGTAACAAGTGCAATCAGGCAAGAAAAAGATATAAAAGGCATCCAAATAGGAAACAAAGAAGTCAAACTGTCACTATTTGCAGATAACATGATTTTCTATATAGAAAATCCTAAAGACTCCACAAGAATACTACTAGAAACAATAATCAAATACAGTAAAGTCTCTGGATACAAAATCAACATTCAAAAATAC